GCTCATTTTCTACCTCTCGTTATATTGTTTCGAATATCGCTCGGCGGCACCGTGGCAATTTCATTCATAGAGATACATTAATATACATTTTCGTTATTTCTTAATTACGATATTTCTCTTCATTCCCCTTCTACTCTACTTCTCCTTACCTTTCTTTTTTCTTTTTTTCTTTTTTTCTTTTTTTCTTTTCTTCTTCTAACTAATAGATTAATGCTCTGTGCGTCTCGGCCAGGACGACGAGCTTAATAAAGCTCTTTGTTTTAGAGAGAGGTGAGAGAGAGAGAGAGAGAGAGAGAGAGAGAGAGAGAGAGGAGAGATGAGAGAGAGATGATGTGAGTGCTGGGTCAGAGAGGAGAGAGGATAAGGATAGTTTGGAAATTTTACTTTAGCTGGCATGTGATAATTAATAAAAAAGGGCTGCAGTACAAAGTGTCACACTTCAAGGGGCTGATCCACATGGGGAAAAATATGAGGGGCTTTGTCACATGAAGTTTTTGCTTTTGGGGCCTGGACACATTTTTCCCGAAAAATAAACTTAAAATTGATATCTAACCGTTTAAATTTGAAGTAAATTTGATACTCAATCACTGTTTAAGCTTCATCTTTTTCTGTGAGAAATCCCATCACTTGAAGTCCGTGATATTATCAATCTACTTATGGCTAGGCTAGGCTACATGGTCACAGCTTATATGGGCTGTCGATCGCGTTCACACCATATAATGGGCTGGGGATCAAAGCTTGGGGTTTTGTCCTCTTTCCACGATTGGCAAATGCGGATTGTATATTTTGTATGTTTTATGTTTCGTTCCATTGTTAGTGTCGTTAACATTTTCGGGCCTCTCCTACACTTCGACGTATGACTAGAGGGAAAAAAAAAAGAAAAAGAAAAATAAGGGAGGTAAAATAATAATAAAAAATACTCACCACCAGTATGATATACTAAGCCTATGATTTGGAAAATGACATCATTTTATAACTTGATAAGATTCGAAGAAATCCCCTAAAAAGAATTTTAAAAAAATGGATCCCAAAGAATTAAGTTGTGAGTTGTGAAATAGTTTTCAATGTAAATAATAAATAAGGATTTTTGTCCATACTAGGTTTTATGCACGTACAATGCACGTGGTCAAATATCATGATTAAATATAGGAGTTTTTGCTTTTAGACCCATTTGTTTACTCCCATTTATCTTTAAACACAAGTACTATTATTTATATCTTTAAGCCCAATTCACCTTTTGTATTTATCTTTAAACCTAATTTTTAAAATACTATATTTTCACCACTTGTTTTTATATTTTGGAGATTGGGTTTAAAGATAAATACAAAAGGTGAATTGGGCTCAAAGATACAAATAATAGTACTTGGGTTTAAAGATAAATAGGAGTAAACAAATGGGTCTAAAAGCAAAAACCCCTTATTAAATATATTTAGTTTATTTCCTTACTAAAACTTGTTCATCGGTTCCACTTTGATGGTTTTTGCTTACTTATATCTCTAAACTTTAACATTGTAATTATTTATTTTCTTTAATATTCGTTTAAATGAACTACACCCAACTTAAATCTTTATATTGACAATTGAATTGACAGGAAATAAATATAATCCGAAATAATTTTGAATTATCATGTCATTGAGACCAACATGAAACCAAGCTTGACCTGAGAAAATATAGCATTGTAAAAGTGAAAAACACTTCAAAAAATAGCATTCTAAAAGAAAAATGAATAATTACAGCTCATAAGACAAGATGATTGGTTAAAAGTGGGCTAAAATGATACAAAAAAATATAAAGTTTGTTCCTAATCCTTGATAGACTTTAAAAAATTATAAAATAAAGATTAATACTAAATTTAGTATACTTTAATATAATGAAAACATCCACATAAACATATAAATGTACTAAAAAGTTTATGAAAATCTCTTCAAAAAATTCCTAATTTACTCCAAAAAATCCTATTCTATAAAATATTAAAAGAATAGTGTCTTTCATTCCTTCTGTTTTATTTTTATTGAGACGTTATTAATCCTTCTTCATCTTTATCTTTTTTGATAAAATTAGTCTACTTTTAGATACCAAAAAAGGATAGTAAAATCTTAAAATAAAAGTTAAATTTACATATCTTAATGAAAGAATATCAAACAACTACTCTTTTTTTGCTATGTTTTGAAAATTTAGTCGTTTTTTGGTGATTTTAAATTTTTAAGGGTGTATTTTGCAAATTTTGAAACTTTGAGAGTGTTTTTTTAAAATTTTAAATTTTAAGTTGAGTGCTTGTGATTTTCATGTTTCATGTGTTGGTAGTAAGTTTTTTAATGTCAGAATATTTCTTGCAACTCTAAATTTTAAGGGTATTTTTTGCAATTATTAAAACTTCAGATTGTTTGTTGCAAAATTTAAAATTTTAACGATCTGCTGATAATTTTGAGATTTGATATAAACTGGTTATAAGTTATTTAATTTTAGGGTTTTGTGTGTGTTTTAATTTTCGAAGGAGTTTTTTAAATTTTTTATAACTTTGTGTAGGCTGTCTAAAAATCACTACAGATAGTTGATCCCCATCAAACACCGATGATGGAAGTTATAATTTAACGGCTTCCATAAGGCTATAATTTAAAGACTTTCATGTAGATCGATGAAGGTTACAATCTGACGATCTTCACAACAACTGATGAAAGCTCTAATCAACAACCTTCACAATCAACATCGGGAGTTATAATCTGATGACTCTCACATATCAAAGAGCTAAAGCAAAGATTATAAAATGATGATCTTTGTAACGCTTTGACAGAAAGAGACTACAAATCGACGGTCTCTTCAAATCAAGACGCGGAAGTCCTCCCCGCGTACTAGCATCAAGACGTATCGCGTTCACAGCCGCTGACGCAGTGCAAACACAACTCACATTCAGCTCCAAACTCTACAAACGCAGCTCATATTCTACCGCAAACGCACCCTCCGAAAGCTGCCAACACAGCTTCCAAATCGCTACAAATGCAGCTTCCAATTGCTGCAAATGAGCTTCCAGACATTGCGTTTGAACGCAGAATTCATGCCAGAACGCGGATTTTACGTTTGACTCGTTCAAACATGATCTGAACTGTTTCAAAACTGTTTTCCCACAATCTGAGGGGATCACAACTCCACTCAGGAGTGATTTAAGGGGCGGTTACATTCCATAAGCCCCACTTAGGAGCGAATTAAGGAGGCGATTACACCCCTTAATCCCCTATAAATAACTAAGAAATTAGCTTAGTTCGGATCCTTCTCCTCGGCAACAAAGAAGAGATCCTGAGGCTGGAGTTTTGGAGGAGGGAGAGATATCTTTGGATCTTTGAGAATTTTGGAGATCTAGAAATCGGCTTATTCGGATCATCTTATCGGCAATAGATTCTTGGGGCTATCTTCATGCTTGGCTTGTCTAACCAATTACGGTTAAGACCAATCAACTCTTTTACAAGAGTTTAAACTCACTCTGAGTTATCAATTCATTTAGAGTTTCGAACTTGCCATGCAAGTCCTCCACAGCGTCAAATCGTGAGGAGAAGATACCGTTCCAGTGAAACAAGACGTTCGGATCATCAACGAGAAGCAAACTCGACGCAAGCATTCGAGGGAGGCATCTCATCGCTATCGTGAAGAACCCAGATTTAAACAAAAGGGGAGAATTCAGATCAATTCTTCTCTCTTTTATAATCAGAAAATTCAATTGTAATCGAGATCGAGAGAATACAAATCAAATTTCTTTCATTCTTTTTACTACAAATTTTTCACCAAACACTTTGAGGTTATTTTTTATAATTTTTAGTTTTTTAGTGTATGATAGTAATTCCTTGAATTCGTCTTTGTTGTTCGCAAGTTTTGAAATTTCCGAATTTCATAGTGTTTTTTTTTAATTTGAACTTTTTAAAGTGTTTTTATAGTTTTTAAAAATTTTAGGGTTTCATGCTTGTTGTTTTAAGTTTTGAAACGTCTGAATGTTTTGTGTAATTTTATATTTTAAGGGTGTTTTGTGCAAATTTTAAAACTTTTTGGGGTATTTTACAATCTTCATATATTATAGCTTTTTATTTTTTAAATTATTGACTTGTAAGTAGTTCACATAGGATTAGGATAGGATATAATTATGATTATAATAAATTAAATTTAAATAAAATATTCAAATAGTCAAAGGGTAGTATTGACCATGGAAAGATTTTCCCGAACTCGTATAATTTTGAAAATTGATATGTATTGGTTATAAGTTATTAAATTTTAGGGTTTTCTGTGTTTTTTAATTTTCGAAGGAGTTTTTCGGAATATTTATAACTTTGAGGTTATTTTTTACAAATTTTAGTTTTTTAGTGTCTGATAGTAATAACTTTGAGGTTATTTTTTACAAATTTTAGTTTTTTAGTGTCTGATAGTAATTCCTTGAATTCGTCTTTATTGTTCGCAAGTTTTGAAATTTTAGAATTTCATAGTGCTTCGTTCTTATTTGAACTTTTGAGGGTGTTTTTATAGTTTTTAAAATATTGAGGGTTTCATATTTGTTGTTTTAAGTTTTAAAACGTCTGAATGTTTTGTGTAATTTTATACTTTTATGAGTGTTTTGTGCAATTATTGAAACTTTTTGGGGGTTTTTTACAATCTTCATATATTATAGCTTATTATTTTTTAAATTATTGACATGTAAGTAATTCCCGTAGGATTAGGATATGATATAATTATGATTATAATAAATTAAAATTTAAATAAAATATTCAAATAGTCAAGGGTAATATTGACCATAGAATTTTTTTTCCGAATGCGTACATTTAAAGGGAGCAAATATGATTAGTTTATTGAATATTTAGTATTTTGAAAATTCTCCCTCAAACCATTGAATTTGTTAAGGCTCTCCTGTATATGTCCCCAATATTTTGAAATTTCTCCCTCAAACCGTTGAATTTATTTAAGGCTCTTCTGTACATGTCCCCAATTCTTGTAAGTCAACTCAATTTAATCGCTCGAGTCCATCCCCTCAAGTTTAGAGGTAGTAAGATGCAAGAATCGGAGAGCTTCATAGCAATTTCAATGTGTTCAGGATCAAATCTAAAAAAAAATAACCATGGGATAATGTGACATTTTGTTTCGCTGCAAGTATTTCCGCACTTCCTAATTCAGAGACAGAAGCAAACCGAACATGTCGACGACGCCGCTCCCTCCGCCAAATCAGGCGGCGCCACCGCCATCCGCCGTCGGGAACCCTAACTTCGATCCCTCCGCCGCGGCCTCTGCCGCAGCGATGCCTCCGCCGCCGGGCACCGACATGACCGGAATCTGCTTCCGAGATCCCCTCTGGCTGAGCACTTACCCCCTCGATCGCAACCTCGTCTTCGATTACTTCGCCCTCTCTCCCTTCTACGACTGGACCTGCAACAACGAGCAGCTCCGATCCCGATCAATCCACCCCCTCGACCTCTCTCACCTCTCGTACAAACCCTAACCCCAACCCGAGATTTTTTTTATAATGTTTTTTTGAAAGGTTTAGGGTTGTAAAAAGTTTGTTCCTTTTTTTAATGATTTGTGAAGGAAGATGACGGGGAATGAGTACATGTTGAGCGAGGTGATGGAGCCACACTTGTTTGTGATAAGGAAGCAGAAGAGGGATTCGCCGGAGAAGGTGACGCCGATGCTAACGTACTATGTTCTTGATGGGTCGATTTATCAGGCGCCGCAGCTTTGTAACGTGTTTGCGGCGAGAATTGTGAGTTATTGCTCTGCCATTTTGCTTGATTTTAGTTTTTTGATTGATGATGGTGGATAGAAGAATCAAAAGGGTGTTTTCTATCTTTTTTTAGCATATAATCTATTGTTTTGAACGGAGTTGTACTCTGCAACTTATCATATTATCTATGGTAGATACACGTAACTTCAATTTCATTTTCATGTAAATGACACTGAAATCATCCCAACAGTTTGGAATATGCAGCTCATTGCAGAGAGTTACTAGTTGAAATGTGTGTTGTGGATGCATATTATTCCTGTTACTTTTATGGAATGATTTGTTGGACACTAATTTTGTCTTGAAAATCACTATTCTGAAGATCACGTAGAAATCCTACTTGGCCTTATATCACTCCTCAAAAGTGGAATCGACGGTAAGGATTGGGGTAACCATCTCCAGGTACCACCAAATTGGAGAGGGTCTGGATCCACAATACTTAAAGACATCTGAACTGAAAATTGCAGAGTTCATCCATGGTTGTCAATTCCCATGTCCATTTATACCTCAGTTTTGAAGTTCCAAAGTCGTCAATCTTTATTTTCTTATGCGCGTGTAACAAAACTGCATTGTGCCTTCTCATGAAAGGTTAGAATATGTTCAGTTATTTATTGATAACTACTTTTGTTTTACATTTTTTTTCATTTACAAGCACAATGCTGACCATATGTAAATTGTTCAAATTTGTATTCTTTCATGAATAAACAAATACAACGACATTGATGTGTAGGTTTTGGCAAAAGTCATGCCCATGTCTAATTACAAGCATAAGGTTGTCACAAGATTATTAGAAATTAAGTATGCTGTCTAATATGTGATAATGATAGAATCAACACAATATAGTCAGTTAAATAAGTGTTAATTCCTTTATCTGATTATATGCACCTATCAGTTTCTTTTAATTGTCTGGATGTTCTCTTTTCTTAGGACCATCTCCTGTTTTCAGGGTAGGGCTATTTATCATATATCAAAGGCGTTCACAATAGCAGCCTCAAAACTTGAGAAGATTGGATATGGTATTTCTTTGCATTTGCCTATTTACTCATATCTCTTTGGGAAAATGTATTTACTTCTACTGACATTTGCTTAGTGTAGCTTTGCAGTGTTCTAGGAAATCAATAAGTTATAAGTCATTGGTTAAGGGTCTGTTCGTTTGCCTAAAAAAAGAGGGAAATCAAAGAAAATGAAACCTATTTCTAAGAAAAATAGGTTTTTGAATTGTTTGGTTGGCTAAAAAAAGAAGAAAATCAAAGAAATGGAGATGGGATGAGATGAGTTGTCACATTATTATTGGATGATGTGAGTGATTTTTTAAGAAAACTAGTTTTGATGTTGTTTGGTTGGCGAAAAAAAATAAGGAAATGAATTATAAGAAACCTATTTCCTGTAGTTTGTTGTTTTCTTTTGTTTGGTTCATTCTTAAAAATAAGAAATGAAATGAGATGAGATGAGTTGTCATTGTATTATTGGGTGGTGTGACCCACACTTAAGAAAAGTGTTTTCACAACTTTTTGGGATGAAAACAAAGAAATGAAATGTTAATGAGATGAGGTGAATTGTTATAATATTTTATTGGATGATATGAGTGATTTGAAATGATGAGAAGAGATGAGTTGAGTGATGTTTGGATGAAAATAATATTTTATTAGATATGATGGATGAGTTGTTAGATGAAAATAATATTTTATTAGATGTAATGGATGAGTGGTTAGATGAAATTAATATTTTATTAGATGATGTGGATGAGTTGTTGGATGAAAATAATATTTTATTGGATGTTGTGGGTGAGTATTAGGGATGGAAATGAAGGAAATAGTACTTTTTGAGATTTTCACCTTTTCCATTTCCATTTCTTGGTTTTTAGGAAATAAACGAACAGACCCTAAATAGACTTATTGCTGCCTGTGATCTTGTACATTTAAATGCACGAAAAATTATCATTCAAGTGTCCATTTAATTTTTACAAGAGAGATGTAAAACAGAAAAGAAGATCTGCCTGCTACATGTTTTTTTTTGTGCAATGCATTTTCTGAAAATATTACAAAATTCAATGTGGCACACATTGCATTTTCTTTTTCTTCTTCTTTTTTTCTTTTTTTTTTGGCGGTAGGTAGATGCTGTTTTTATATAATAACCTCAAATTAGACTTCAAGTCTTAAATTTCTAAAGTAAATTAGCTTCCACATCTTGAAAGCTCTTTGAAATTGCCCATGTTAGCTGCTCCTGTCCAATATCCATTTATGTAAGGTCAGATGTTATTGTGAACTCTTTTTGGCCAGTGTATGGGTTAGTTAACAGTAAGCTAGATAATGAATTCTCTTAATCTTCCCCCACCACCCCACCACCAATGCTAGTACCCCCAAAGTAAGCATTGGTAAGGTGATTTAGTTTGGAGGAAAATGGGAAGAGAGAAGAAATTATATTTGAAAAGATGAGGAAGAGTGGTTAAAACAAATGGTGATTTAGGGTTTGGAGGAAATGGTTACAGTGTATTAATGAGATGGGGAAGATGATTTGAGAGGCTAATATCAAATTAGGTCTATTTTGAGCGTCATATATGTGAAGTTTTATTTTTCATTTCTCATGTGAACACTCATAGAAAATGAGTCTGAAAGAAGAAATGGCCACATGGAATGCTTTTTTTTTTATTTATCTTTTTCATTTATTTATGTTTTAGAAAAGCTTACGAGCTGCATGCTAGAAGTCTTATTTTATATTTTCTACGTGTAATCACATTGATCATGACAAGCCCGGAATGTCGCAATTAACCACAAGCTTCCAAGCTCATTGTGAACTAATGTAGGGAATTTCTGGTCTTGTTATTTATAGCATCATCTTCAAAGCCTTATGAAACATTTCTTTATGTTGTTTTGTTCTAAGTGAAATGTGCTCATCATTAATTCTAACATGAGTAATACTCATTGGGCTTTTGAGGAAGTCTTTGTTGGTAAGGTTGCTTATTTGTTTACAGAACAAAATCGATTTTTTTCTGAATAGAGGAGAACAATAAGGAGATTCATATGGACAGTAGATTTTGTTTTTGGTATTCGTCCTTTGATTATGTACATTTCATAAGTTCTTACTGCATATAACTGAATATGTAGAGAATTGTCAGACTATCTTGTCCTTGGTGCGCTTTTTTTGCTTGTTTTGTCAAATCCTTGGATGGCCAATCATGCATCCCTCTCGTATATCTTTCAATTATTTTCTAGGTCCGCCAAAAAAAATGTAGATGTGCATGTAGGTTAAAATACCTTTATCTTATTATTGCAAAATAACAATTAGAAAATCAACTGCTAATATCTATTCCTCATGGTAACTGTATCTGCAAGGAACACGGATTATACAAGTCACAGTAGGCTTATGTACAAGGATTTATACTCGTAAACATGAGCAATCTATGGATTTCTATCCAAGTTTGTTCTGGTTCCTGTTGCTTGTGGCATGTCGTATCTTTGCTGTGTTAAGTGTAGGAGTAATGGTATAATTTTGCAGCTGCAGCTGATGCTGAAAGTGAAGGCAGTAACACTGAAGCAAAGACGAAGGAGACAATTGACTTTAAGGATTTAAAACGAGTTGATCATATTCTTGCATCTTTGCAACGCAAGGTACTATTATCCTTTCTTCTTGCACAAAGTTTACTTTGTGAGTCAACTGGTTTTTTCCCCGTGTAGGATAGAATGAGGTATAGGTTTCTATTCGATTAGGTAGAATGTTCAACTATTACTGTTCAAATTATTCTCTTTATTTTTTTCATACCGCTAATAGCCCCAAGGCATCCCTTAACCGCATAAAAAATGTAAACCTTCATAATTCCATAAACGTTTGCGAACTCTTAATAACCATTCCAAATTACACCTCTCGTTAAGTTTAATAGACCAAAGGATATATTAGTGTTAGTACCGATTATTCTCATCAACGGATCATTTTGTCCTTCAGTCTCACGATACTTTCCTCTCCAAATGCTACTTCTATATTTTTTTGTATCTGTAATGTTCTCTCCTCAATTTTTGTTCCCTTCTTTCCTTCATTCTCCTGTTTAAGATGAATTTAATAAGGATAAATTAAACATCCACCTGGGGGTGACAAATAGGCCTCGACCTGACCCAATAATCCCGGTTATGGATATAGGCTAATCGAGTATGGGATGAAATCAGATCAAGCTTCCTAGTAAGTGTCCGGAGCGGATATGAGTTTGTATGCTTTAATACTCCATTCAAAGGGTAGCAGAGATTCTTGATAAACTACGCTGAGATGCTTGATAAACTACGCTGAGATGCTTGATAAACAAAAGACCTCTTGCATCTCTTTTCCAGTTTACAATGGATGTGATTTCATAGAACAAGGCGAGATGGCAACCAGGAGCCCTTCCCTGCAGCAAATAAAATCCTGATAAACCATACTATCATTTAGTTGGGAGCTCGAGGTTTCCAACTGTCTAGACGTTAAGTTTGATGGATCACGTGACCTAGTTAACCTGTGTGATGGCTCTGAATATTGACCTAGAGATTCTGGCGGATGCTTTGTTGTAGAAAGTCTATAATAAGGAATGACGTTATCTGTAAATTTGCTGAATCTGTAGCACTGCTTATGGGAGAAATTACAGTATTTTTAACAAGGCAACAGCATTCAGTTTTGGGGGAATCTGGCATTCTTATACACTGGTTAAAACGTGAGATTGCTCTTGGAGATGTTAAGAGTCGGATTTGTTTTCGCTTATATATTCAGGGAGGGGAATTTGCCCCAAGATCACATTTGCTGGTCTAGGTGTAAGGAACATACTTTCAGATTTGGATGTTTGCCTTTCCTCTTTTTTTTTTTCCGCACTTGCTCATACAGAAAAAAGGTGGGGGGAGGAATGACCATTCAAAATCATGTACCGGTGATATGCATACAAGTATGAATATTGACTTTGTTGGAAGGGCAAATGACGCACAAATGGAAGGACAAATTTACTTTACTGGAAAACAATAGCATTAAGGAGATGCACATACATTTGTCTTGTTCTAAATATATGTAGATGGTATGTATAGCGCTACTGTTCATGCGTCTCCCTTAGGTTACCATCACATTTTCTTATGTTGCTAGCATTGAATTCGTATTATCATTAGGCATATTCTCCTTTGTTTTTTTTTGGGTTAGTACTTAATGGTAACTACAATAACTTTCTTTTGAAGAAATATGAATAGGGGGTATGAATGTTATAGTCTTTTGTTTACAGAGTAGGAATGAGGTTCCTTGAAATTCCATTTTAGTTATCTAATGAGAGAAACTGATAAATGTTACACTATTCATATTTATTTAAGAGGGTGTAGAGCATGCCTATGCATAAAGGATCGTGCATCCTAGCAGTATCTCCAGGCTCATCTCTCTAGCCATTTTCTTTCTTTCTGTTGTTTCTCTAACAAGGTTGCCTCATAACAATTAATTAGCTTATTACTACCACCTAGATACAAAGTCATCTTCTAATTAGTTGGACTCTAAACTAGCTACAAAATAAGTGGTCTAATCATCCTCTTTTATAAGCTTGTAAGGGACTAATTAGCAAGCCTACATTCCTAAGGGAAGCCAAATTTCTGAGCCAAGATTCTTCCATTGAACATTTTTCAAGCAGTTTTTCCCCCTCTTATTTAATTCTCTCTCCTGACCAAACTTCTGCTCCGCAGCTGCCACCAGCGCCACCGCCACCAGCATTTCCTGATGGCTACGTTCCACCAACATCCGATGGAGAAAAGGCTGCAGAAGACCAACAAAGCACAGATGTACAACCTCCACCCTTGGATCCTATTATCGACCAAGGCCCCTCTAAAAGGACGAAATATCAATGAAAAGAACACCGAACAGGTATCAACTACCGTTACCAACTTCAGCGAGCAATTGGTTTATTTTTCTTAATCCCCTGTAATCACTAACCAAATGCACTGTCTTTAATCAGCTAAAAATTGTGGAGCAATGAGTGATCCGTCTGGGGCTGGATATGCTAGTCAATGTATTCGTGTATTGAGTAGCCACGTCTAGAGGGTAATCAAAATGCAAATAGGGATCCTTGTTCTAAATTATAACAGACTCTGTGCCAACAATACTTATCAAGTAGAAATAAAAACTAAAGAAGGTGCATTTATCGAGAACTATTTTGGTAATCCAAGTAGTTTTCTTGAAGGTGCCTTGTAATTTTTCCTAGGAGGAAGAAGGCACTAAGGAACAGGATGAAAACTTTTAATGGTTTCTTTTAATACAGGATGAATTCTGTAAACTGTTTCTTTGACTTGATGTTGCAATTCTAATTCACGCTGTAGACCGACTCTCAGAGTCCTTTTCGTGGATAATATAGAACTCGGAAAATTGAGTTATTAAATAAGCAGTTTGGTAATAAAAGGTATCGGTTACCAGTAGGGGTGCCAAACCGTATCCGTATCCGGGGAAATATCTGTAACCGTATCTGTTAGGATACGAATGTGGTTACTCAAATCTATTACCGATAGGATATGGTTGCGGATATGGTTTTGTACGGAAATATCCGTATCCGTATCCGAAAATATCCGAATATATATTGGTAATACTCTTATGATAGTTTTGATTCTTAGATTATGGATTTGTGGTTAATTTTGATGATCAAGATGTCTAATCTTAACTTTTTAATCATAATGAACATATTAACGAACTCTTTTTGTATCACATGACTATATTTTTCTGAATACTATCTAGTTTTCTCATATCCTTTTTGTATCCGCATGCATATCCGTTTATATATCTGTATCTATATCCGTAACCGTATCCAATTTTGACGGATATGGATATGAATTTTTCTTACCGACGTATATCCGTATCCGTATCCGAGATAGGTAAACGGATATGAATATGGTAAGTGCCATATCCGAGCCGTATCCGCTCCGTTAACATCCCTAGTTACCAGTGAGGTTTAGGTTAATAGCAAGACTGGAGCTTGAATTACGCGTCTCTTTTCGAGAAGAGAGGGATCGGGAAAAAAAAAACGTTCATTTGGAATATTACTGATATACACAGTGTCTTATTTGTGCAGGATATTTGGTCACTACAGATACGCACTGAAGCTAGTGGAACTGTACTAAGTTCAATCACAAATCACGAAATCATAAATAGCACGTTTCTATTTTGGTAAGATAGTTACTATACATGCAGAACTTTTTTTTTTTGTGGTAAAATGATGATACCTATTCAAAATAGGCATAGTAGATGATCAAGGCATTACTCTTCAAATAAAATGATTTGACTTTGGTTCCTATCATCCAAATGGGAGTTGCTAGTTAGTCGTCTGGTGTGATTGAGAACTTCCCGTGTGACTATCACTATTCCATTAGACGTCTTGATGTGTTGCACAATTACTTATTGCAAGAACGTACTGAAAGTATTTACAGATACTATCATTGAGGTCTTGAGATTGTACTGAGTAAGATGTATGCAGATATTTAAACATTAATCTTGAATTATGAGAACAAGAAAGTTTTGGATGCGGTTAATCGTGGTGTTGATCGTGGTCCTTAAGTTTAAATGCACTTATCATGAAATCTTGGCGTCTACTTTAATACAGACGTATATCCGGTAATTATATATCCAGTAATTTTGTATAGTCGTTCATATCTAGACGATATCCCATCAAACTTTCTTGTCAATTTCATAGATTTTCGAATAGAAAACCTCTTAGCTACTACTCATCCTTCAGTGCAAGCTGGCACATCAAAATCCAAGGATTTCTTAAGGATAAAACGTACAGCTGCGTTTAAGAAGACTTTAGTGTCACTAGAGCTACAATTAGGAAGTGAGATGATGATTGCTCATGAAAACAAACAAATTAAGATGCATAGAACGAATACGACTTGAATACTACAACGCATATTCATTTTGTTTATTATTGATGGCGAACACGAAGAAAGAGACGTTGGTGCTAACACTGATGATGATGAGACTAACATTGACCTAGATGCAACTTGAACCGCTAGTTTTGATGATGGTGATGATCATGATGATGAGGCTTGTATAATGACAATGACAGCAGCAGCAACAACATATCACTCCATGTATGTATCTATCATCTCTTCACCATCTCAGCTTTTCCGGGAAATACTGCATTCAACCACAAAGAGATTAGTGCATGTAGATTATTTACATGTCACATAAAAACGATTGAGAAATAAAAGATTTCAGTAGTACCTTGTTGATGAGAGAGAGGTAGTAGGGCTTCACCTCTTCTTGATTGATTCTCACCTTGCTCTTGCTGTATAGATCATATTTGCTGTTTGTTAACATTAACACACCGTTAGCGTAACTTATTATTTTCCACTGAATGTATACG